TCTTCCTTTTGTTTTAGCTACTGTCCATTAATGAGCAAATTTCAGAGTCTCTCTGACATCCAATTTGGTCTTCCTTTCCTGTCTTTTTAATGATCTTTTGCTTTCTTCATGTATGCTGTACTTGATGTCATCCCACAACTTGTCTAGTCTTTAGTCATTGGTATTCAGTGTGTCAAATCTGTTCTTCAGATGGTCTTTAAATTCAAGTGGGATATAATCAAGGTCATATTATTATTATTATTATTTAAATTTCTACTGTGATTTGGGTGAAAGTTTACAGAGCAAATTCATTTTCCATACAGCAGCTCACATATACTTTGTCTCACGACATTGGCTGCAATTTCCCACAATGCAATAACAATCTTCTTCCCCATGATTACCTCTTCCCTGTGTCCATCCTTCCATTCACTCCTGCCCCCTAAGCTGTCTCCCTGTGCATACACAGCCCTTCTATTCTCCCATGACTGATCTCTCCAAGGATTGTATCTACCTCAGATAAATGTTCAACTCATATGCCTGTCTTTTGTTTGGCTGGAAGCCCCAGGAGTGGGTTCAATTCCAGACCTGAAGGGCAGCTGTGGGCGATTGTCTCAGGGGTTCCACCAGGCTCTATCAGACCAGCAAACCTGGTCCTCAAGGTCGTATTTTGGCTCTTGTGAATTTGTTTTAATTTTCTTCAGCTTCAGCTTGAACTTGCATATAAGGAATTGATGGTCTGTTCCACAGTCAGCTCCTGGCCTCGTTCTGACTGATGGTATTGAGCTTCTCCATCAACCATCAGATGTAGTCAGTTTGATTCCTGTGTATTCCATCTGTCAAGGTCCACATGTATAGTTGCTGTTTATGTCGTCGAAAAAAGGTATTTGCTATGAATAACATTGGTCTTGCAAAAAAGATGTAGTCTCCAGTGTCATTTCTTTCACCACGGCCATATTTTCCAATGACCAATGGAAAACTTTATGAATAGCAGTGAAACAATATCTGATATGGTGCTAGAAGATGAGGCCCTCAGGTTGAAAGGCATTCAAATTACAACTGGGAAGAGCTGCTTCCTCAAAGTAGAGTAGACCTTTGACGGATGGAGTAAAGCTTTCAGCACCTCCGTTTGCCGATGTGGTGTGACGCAAAATGATAAGAAACAGCTGCAAATATTCATTAATCATCAGAATGAGAAGTGTACAAAGTACGAATGTAGGAAAATTGGAAGTTGTCAAAAAAGAAATGGAACACATGAAGATTGATATCCTAGGTGTTAGTGAGCTGAAATGGACTGATATTGACCATTTTGAATTAGGCAATCACATGGTCTACTATGCCGAGAATGACAAATTGAAGAGGAATGGCCTCACATTCATTATTGAAAAGAACATTTCAATAATTATCCTTAAGTACAGTGTTGCCAGTGATAGGATAATATCCACATGCCTTCAAGGAAGACCAGTTAATGCTGCTGTCTTACTGTAGTCATCAGAAATTGGGTGGCTGGCTCCCCATCACAAAAGAACTGTAAACAAGTTTGCTCTATCATAAAGGAACTCCAAGAACTCTAAGAAGCCAAAACGTAGAAACCTGAGTAAAATGGGGAAGGGGTTGAATTATTAAAGTCATAAGGTGGGTACATGAGCACCCTCTTTCTGAACATCAGTGCAGAAAGGGCATGGAGGCAGCACCCTCTGACGCCCTTTAACTTCCCAAAGGGGAGAGAGAAGGATCAATACCAACAGCCCAAAGCTGATTCCTGTGAGGCTAGACATGCTGCCACCCTCCAACCTGTACCAATTCTGACACCAACCGTACCTCTCATGGCACTTACCACTTCTCTCCTGGCTTCAATAATCCGTTGCAGTGGCCACACAGAACTCACAGACTATACTCACAATTATGGGGTTTATTAGGGAAGTAATTAGTTACAATTCAGGTTCAGGAATTCTCACGGTACAATTCTTCAATCAGGACAGCCTCCCCTAGGCTGTACCCAAAGGCATGCATCTCTTTGGCTTTTAGCCTCTGGGCCTGGCCTCTGCTGTGCTCGGGCAGTAGCTTTGCCCATAGGGGCACCCCATTCCGCCAGCAAGCTGCCTGCCCAGAGACACTCAGTTCTCCAGTCGCCATCTCTCCGCCCTCTCAGCACAGGGATCTCGGGCCCAAGGATGCACTCCACCCTTGGCTGTTCTCTGTCTTGATGGCAGTGAGATTCCCCTTTTCTGCTTCTGGGAGGGCTCATTTTAAGGCTTTGTTGTTGTTGTTGTTATGTGCCGTCGAGTCGGCCCCGACTCATAGCGACCCCTCCTTGGGTTTCCGAGGCAGTATCACTACGGAAGTAG